GGGGGGGATTATTATTCCTCATGTATAAAGAAACTGAGGCTCAGAGAGGTCCCCAAAATATGTCAGTGGCAGAGTTAAGATTCGAGCCCAGACCTTTTGCAACTTCAACATTTTCATGTAGAACCCCACCCCGTCCAACCCCCAAATCCATCAGAGACATTCAGCTGGGTGCCATGGCTTGAGTGGTCTTACTGCCCATCCCCGAGGGACTGAGCAGTCCTTCACATAGGTCTTACTTATCCAGCACGAACATTCATTTGGCTTCCCTTTATGTGCCAGACATTGTTCTAGCACCAGGTGTACAGAAGTGAACAAGACAGGAGGTCTCTGCCCCCAAGGAGCTTACATCCTTGGGGAAGGGTGTAGAGAGACAGCAGGTTAATCAACCCACTCCCAGGATAAGGTCAAAGAGTCTTAAGTGGTAAAAAAAAAAAATTAAAATTGGGGGGAGGGTTCAGCTCAGTGGTAGAATGTGTGCTTAGCAAGCATGTGCTTAGCATGCATGAGGTCCTGGGTTCAATCCTCAGTATCCATTTTAAAAATTATAATAATAATAAATGAATAAACCTAATTACCTCCCTTCCAAAAAAAAAACCTGAATAAAAAAATGAACAAAAAGCAAATGTTCAAAAAAAGTTTTTAAATAAAAATTAATAATGGGGGTATTGGCACCAGACCCCCTTCTCCCTGTGACAAATCATGGGACCATCTATACTGCTTGTTCTTTAATTTGATCTAAACAAGGTGAGCCAAGAATAACTAGATCGTCAGCTCCAATGAGCTCCCTAGGGAATAAAGTCTTCATGACTTCCGCTGATTTCATTTACACATCCCACCAGCCATGGTTATTAAGGTGCAAACACTCAAGGTTCTGACAACATCTGCTGGGTTCTAACTCCTCAAAAAAAAAAAACGCGTTCCCACGTGCCACTGTAGGATAAACAGGAAGTTATAGCCAGGTGTCACAAGGCGCATAAGATAGACACAATTAAGATTGAGTCAGAGGAAGAAGAGACATCCATGATCTAAGTTTCTGTACCAGAAAGAGCCCTGGAAAGCTGGAAAGCAAGGAAAACACCTTCCTTTTCCCAGGACAGAAAAACCTGTCTGTGGTGGACACTGCATTTTGAGATCCAAGTTAAAGGCAGGCTCTTGGAAGGCCACCTTGTCCTCAGAACCCGGGGGTTCGCCCACATGTGGGCGGGTCTGACAGAGACAGGGAAGCCTTTGCCAGTCACTGAGCCAAGAGCAGGTGGGTCATGGCTGGTGTTCAAGGCTGGAGGCATCTCTCAGACAGGAAACAGAAATCACGTGGGCAGCCCCAGCGGGGAGGCTCTGAAACAGGAAGAGGCAGGGATGCAGCTTCTGGCTGCCAGAAACACTTCCCAACAAAGTCTTCATGGCCACTGGGAAGTCCCAAAACCATTAAGTGAAGAAGCAACGCTTCATCAAAAAAGTGGGAAAAAAGTTAATAATGGGCTACTTGTAACAGTTTCTCAAGCATATCTTGGGTATCACGACGTAGAGGGACCAACATGGTTCTGAGACCAAATTATATGCTATGGAATTGGTGTCTTCAGGAACTCACACTGGAAAAACACTGAACTAATGATGATGCTTCAGGCAAAACAGAAAGAGAGAGAGGTCAACGGTAAGGGTAGGCCTTTCAAGGTCAAGTTATGGAAACTCCCCTGGATCAAAGCGGAGGAGAAACAATCGTGAACTGTGGCTGGACATGATTAGTTAGTTAGATTATTGCCCAGGGACTTTCACAGTGGTACCCAGGAGAATGGTGATGCTACCCAACTGAGGACCCCAAGAAGTCTCCTCCCCTGTCTATGAGGAAGGGCAGAAAGGCTGCAGTGACAGGGATGGGAGAGCACCCTTATATTACAGCAGCAAGCCATGGCCAAGGCCAGAATTCTGCAGCGCATTCCAGGAAGTCAAAGCTTGAGGTAGAAATCAGCTGATGAAGGAGCAGAGACTAAAGAGTGAACTTGCAATTGCCAAGACAAAGGCATAGCAAAAAGGACTCAGAAGCGCACAGCAGCCACACCCGGGGCAGCAAAGGTGGTGATGGATGAGAATAAAGAAGCAGAGTATGAAGAAGCGCCTCCACCACAGTGAGGAGGGTGGTCCTCAGTCCTTTACTGAAGCGGGACCAGACCAGGTGTGGGAATCTGCTTCAGGTAGTGGACTATATATAACCAGGTGTTAGAGAACCACACAATTGTCCTTTTACCAAATCCTGAGTTCAAAACCCTCTCCCTCTCCACTTGGTATCATTATACTGAAGTATCATGACACAATAGACCGTACCTGATCACTTACATCAACATTCTATTGTGGAATGTTGGCAGGTAACTCAGTAAGCTGCTCTGTCTCTTACAAAACTCTGTCTTATTTCTGTCTGAGCGTGAGTCAGAAATAGTCAGTGCCTATATGTATAGTGCTTTCGCCGCAGTGAAATACAGGAACCAACATAAATGTGCACCAGGAAAGTGCTCATTAAGACTTATGGTTCATTCATACAATGAAGTTTTAAGTAACTTAAAAAAAAAGGAAGTGCTCTAAGTAATGTGGAAAGATCTACATAAAAAAATGCAAGATACAGAACCGTGTATATAATATGCTACCTTGTGAGAAGGGAAGAGAAAAGTATATATAATTATTTACACAATACCAACAAATTCATTTGTCAAATCTGCTCTAACTTGCTGTTCCATCACAGCTATGTGATTTGGTTTCCAGGAAGCCCCTTGAAGTATTTGGTACCTTGATGTTTAAACACACAAAACACACATGCATTTTTTTAATTATATATAAATGCACTGGGTTTTATCTCCTCCTCTCCATCTTCCCCAAGTAGGAGGCTGGAGAAGGTTGAAGCAGTTGCTGGAAATTAAGTAGGGCAATGAAACAGGTTAGCAAACTTTATTCCTTGACATTGGGAGACACTGTGCTGTAGACATCAAACTACCTCTTCAGACCCCAGTTTGTGGACCTTGTATAAAGTGTCAAGTATCCCCAGCTGCTTTTCCATAAATATTCCTTATATATACATAAAGAAGCTCTGAAAGAATAGCCAACAAACTACTGTAATAAAAGGTATCTGATATGTATGTATGTGCATGACTGGGACACTGTGCTCTGGGACATTGTGCTGTGCACCAGAAATTGACACACTGTGACTGAATATACTTCAGTAAAAATAAGAAGACGACAAAGAAGAAAAGGTATCTTTGGCATAGGAGAAGGAACTGGGTTTCTGGAGTATAGGGGAGGGAGAGTCTTCACTGTACATCTCATTATATATTTAAAATGTTTGTACCCTGTGGACATATCCTACTCAAAGATATTAAAAAAATTTTTTAATTAACAATAACCACCACCAAGGTTACCAGCAGATGGCTTGAAGCCGAGAAGGAATTGTGGGAGTGTGTTCCCACATCAAAGGCACCATATCAGGAAGCAGAACGTGCTAGAGGAACAGAGAATCCCACAAGGTTGAGAATCTGCCAGTGCAAACCCACCTCAGGCTGGTAATTCGAGAATTTAGCTCAGGGTGGGGGGTGGGGGCGGGCAGGGAGTGGCAGTGCTGGCCGAGCCAACCTGAGAGCAGTTTGCAGCTGAGTCATAGTGCAAGATCCACCATCTATTTCTATAATCTGCTTGCACTTGGCTTATAAGGAAAGAGTACTTCTGAACTGAGAAAAAGGGATTTTCCGCCCCTCTGCCTTGATGGACCATCTCAGGGGGCACTCGGCAGTAGCTTTCCTCATAAAAAGGAAAGGGTGACTGATAGAGCATCAGGACCCCATGCATGAGTCAATTCGTCAAATCACAGCCATTTAGCGAAAGCCTACTCTGTATTAGACAAGGTACGAGGCGCTAGAAGAGAAGGATAGAAGGTCTCGGACAAAGACTCCTGCCCATCGGGGCCCCTCTCTCATGAGAAGGGGCACCATCTTGTCCAAAGATGCCAAGTATCAAGGTATTGCCGCTGCACAGACATGTGGCTAGTGACAACCTTTGCAGGTTAACTGTACAGGTTAGCCCCTTGTACCTACTTCCTCAACTGGAACCTGGGGATAATAAGGACACCCACTCCACAGGATTATTGCAAGGGCCAAATGAGTCAATCCTAGAAAAGGGTGTCCCTAGAACGGGGTCCGGCACACAGAAAGGCTCCGTAGGTGCCAGCTACTACGGTTCTCCCCAGGTCTGCTGACCTCGAGCCCACACTCCTAAGAACTCCATCCTACTGCTTCTCAGCATCTTCTTAGAAGTACTGCCAGACCAGCATTTCCTAAACCAGGTGAAACTCATGAAGGGGGCCGTCTATTAGGGCCAGACCACCCTCCAAAAAAAGGGCAGAAAGGTAGGACAGTTGGGGCAGAGCCTGGAGGAAAAGGTTGCTGGGGTCTGGGGGCTGTGACAGAGCAGCATCCCAGCGGAAGCAGCTCCTGCTTCA